ACCAGAGCTCCCTCAATGACAATGGGTTTGGGTTTTTTTTGGTAAGGCACTTGACTACTAACCAGAAAGCTGGCAGTTCAAACCTACCAGTCACTCCTCAGAAGGAGGGTTGGACAATCCACTTCCGTAGTGATACCTCCTCGGAAACCCAAGGAAGGGTCACTACGAGTCGGGTCTGACTCAACAGCACATAACAACAACAACAAAATGGCTATAATAAAAAAGAAAAGTAACAGGTGTTGGTGAGGATATGGAGAAATGGAAGCTCTTATACATTGCTGGTAAAACAGTCAAATGTTACAGCCACTATGGAAAACAGTCAGGCAGTTCCTCTAAATGTCAAACAGAGAGTTACCATATGATCCCATAGCTGCAATCCTAGGTATATACCCAAGAGTAATGAAAATATACATCCACACAAAAACTATACAAATGCTCACAGCAGCGTTAGTCATAATAGCTAATAATGAAAACAATGTCTATTATCTAGATATGATGATAAACCAAACATGATATATTTATACAATGGAATATTATTTGGCAATACAAAGAAATAAAGTACCAATAATTGCTACAGGAATGAACCTTGAAAACATTATGTTAAGTGAAAGAAGCTATAAAAGACCACAGATCGCATGATTTCATTTATATGAAATGTTCAAAATGTTCAAAATCTATAAAAACAGCAAATAGACTTGTAGTTGCCAGGAGCTAAGGGTAGGGGGTAATGGGAAGTAATTGCTAATGAGTAAGACATTTCTTTGGGGATAACAAAAATGTTCTTAAACTGATTATGGTAATGGTTGCAAAGCTCCATGAATATACTAAAAACTACAGAATTGTATAGCTTACTGGGGAACTGTAAGTATATAAATTATATCTTAATAAAGCTGCTAAAAAAAAGGTTGTTAGGTAGATAAGATTCATAAGGAACAAAATCATTAATTTCCATTGATCATTATCAAGTAAATCAATAATATATCTATCACAAATAATATCCTACAGACATTTTTATGAATCAATAATTTTTGAAACCAGGAACCAGAAACAAACCAATGATAAATGTTTAGTAAAATAAAAAGAAGGTGCAGTTTTGGTAAGAGGAAAAAAATTACCTTCCAAGAGTTTTTGACATAATGTATTCATCTCTTAATTCCTTAGGATAAACAGATTGATCATCAACGGTCAGATCAAAAAATACAAAAACTAGGGAGAAAAAGGCAGAAATAAGGTCCCATTAATTCATTCAGTAAAAAGAAGATAACTGACGCCAATGTAATAAACTTATGGAATATAAGATTACTTAAAATTACACTTAATATGTGATCCTAGAGGAATTATTTAGCTAGGTTAATGCACGTTATGAAACGCTTGGGAAATGTCAAATTTCATCCTTTAATGGAAACACACAGCATTGTTCTTACCACAGTACAAGAAAGTTATAAAATAAATGCTATTCTTATTCCTTGACCTCAGAGTATTAATTAATTCTACTAATCTAAAATACTCTTGCAGGAAAAATGTGGAACAAAATTCAAAAACGCAAAATGGGGTGGAGACTGATGAAACCCCTGAGACAATGGCCCTAGGTTACCCTTCAGGCCTAGAAATGGATTCACTTTCGTGGATTGGCTCTCAGCCCAACAGCACAAAGACCTACGTGCAGAACTCTTACCCCAGAGCAATGCGCTCAGCTCCTCTAGGGAGTGCACCCCTTAAATCAACAAGCCCTGAGGTATCAGAGGGACAACATTCACATAGAGGGAAAGCTGGACAGACAGGAATGCACAGATAAGAAGGGCACAGGGAGGAAAGGGGAGGAGAGTTTTGTTTTTGTTTTTATTGTGATTTGGGTGAAAGTTTACAGAGCAAATTCACTTTCCATACAGCAGTTCACATACACTTTGTCTCATGACATTGACCACAGTTTACCACAATGCAACAGCTCCCCTCCTACTTCCTCCCAATAGTTATCTCTTCCCTGTGTCCTTCCTTCCATGCACTCCGGCCCTGAGCTGTCTCTGTGCGTACACAGCCCCTCTACTCGAGGGGAGGTGAGTTTTTTATGTTGGGGATTGTAATCAGGCCATGAAATAAAACGTGCCATCAACTGTTGAATGTAAAACAAATCTGCTCTGTAAATTTGTAACCCAAGCACAATAAAAAAGAAAAGAAAATACTCCTGCAGATGAGCCCAGGCTCAGACCCCAAATGCGATTAGTTTGGGCCTAGAAGTAAAGTTCTAGGCAAGTACATACCTCAATACAAATTAGAACAAAAATTACCATACTAGTCCCATAAAACCTGTGAAAGCCAGAAACTGCGTAATGCAGAAGCCTATCAGAGAAGGAAAACTAAAATTTTTCCACTAAAACAGGCTGTAGAAAAGTGGTAAGTCTGCACCCTTTCAAAGACAGACAACTTAAAAGACACAGAAAAACACGAATTCTGGCTCTCACAGGCGCTACTGCATTATCTTCTCTAAGCCATTTACACCTGCAGATATCTGGTATTTTATAGTGCAAACCGGACATTCACAAGAGTCTGTCCGTGGTCTGAAGGGATGCCAGGTTCCAGGCAGATAGGTCTCAGAGACACATCTGGATTGTAAGAAAATTGTTACAGAACCAAATGTGGGTTCCTGCTGAGTGCACACAGAATCCAATCAGTGGGCACCAGTCTTTGGAGAGTAGCTTTATTGCAGGGCACTAAGCAAAAAGTAGCAAGCGGGAAGAGCAGGAGAAAGGGGTTTAAAAGCCAGGAAGCCAGAGAAAAGAGCAGTCAGCCGAAGGGATTAGGTGAGGAGAGGCA